AGGACCCGACCCATACTAGGAGCGGCTATGTGTCGACTCCCCACTTCAAGGGCTTCTCTGAGGGTCTTGTGTTCTTCACGCGCACAATATCGTGACGCCGGTTGTGACAGGTGCACGATCAGCCCCGTTCATTGCACCCTTTTCCATGAGGCATTAGTTGCTAAGTCTTTTCGGCGTCGTTACGGGTTATGGCCCTACATTTCTCTGTGTAGCCTCTCATATCCCAACTTCTGATGCCTAACTCACACAACCTATTTGAGACTCCATCTTCAAGGGGCGGAGGGGTTGAGTTGCCGCCAGTTATTCCGGGGTTTGAGCCTGCCGACGCTACACGGTGTAGCCTACACCCCGAAGAACATCCAAATGCTATCGGAAGAAAATCCCAGATGGCAGCAAATCTGTGTACAGCACCGGTACTCGAATTTGAACTAACCAGTGTTGCACGGTCCCGGGAAACATACCGCAACCAAACACGACGGTGCCGCTCACCTCGTCATGGATGTCCGTCCCTACGGAGAAGGCCGTACACAACCGGGTGATTGAGTAATATCTCCACACATGCTCATCCATTATGCATCATACGTACAATCTCTGCACTTCCTAAAAATGGAAATGGCGAACATTGTAATACAATATTCGCATACAATGATTGTATACAATGTGGAATTACATGCAATTTTTTCAATATGCTGTGGGTGATATCAAGTGTGGCACTTGCAGAGATACTGCAGGAAAGCTCTCAAATACGACTGGCAGGAAATGTATGCAACCTCCCCCATTGCATACAGCTTTTGCGCCTTCTGAAAATGGGGGTGGTTATCAATCCTTAGTTTTCGGCACTTTCACTTCTATTAGCCGCTCAACTTGCACGCGGAAATTTCGGGCGAGCGCTTTTTACAATGCGTCGTTTTGCCCAAATCGCATCTTCGTTTCGATTTTGAGCGTATCTTAGATATGCACTTCCTCCCATATGGCCATCACAGATGTGATCCCTCCAGCGCTTGCAGCGGGCGGCCTGCATGTTTTGATGGGTCCCGATCACATCTCGGCAATTATGGTAAGTCTACCGTCTCTTTGAGCTCACTGTCATTTCCAGTAGTCTCTTTTAGACCGTCTCTGTATGTCAACGGTTGAAGGCGTTTTGGTATGGCATCCGGTGGGGTATAGGCCACTCGGTTGGTCTAGCTTTGGTAGCAGCTCTCTTGTGGGCAATCGAGGCTGAGTCTTCTGATGCCAGTACACACCATTTCGCGTAGGCCTTCTTATTTGTCTTTTCCGGTCCCTGTATCTGGTATGCCTCCTTAGACACGTAGCGTCTTATGTGAGCGGTGCGTTCATGCTAGCCTTTGGACTGTAATGATTCAGTCATCTCCCCTCCATAGTTGAGCATATCTCTTTCCCGCAGGTATTTTTTGGTTAAAGCGAAGACCGAGCTCGAGAAAATCTCACAAGTTGTCGATTCGCGCACCTCTCGACGATGGCATTTGGCTGACCGTGATGTGAATGACAACGTGGCTTTCGAGCTACTAGACGATGATTTGGTCCACGAGTTAGAAGTGGGGGACGATAAGGAGGCCGATGTAGAACTTGAGGATAAGACAGCGCAGATCGTTGGTGAGTTTATTGTTGTGATTTGACGTTACTTTGTTGTTTTCAGGTGCTTCAGCTGACACCACTCAACCAAACAGCCCATCGGATCACTCTATTGGTTTACCTCACGTTGTTGAGCCTGCGATAGAGCCCCGAATTAAATGCTGTATGTTCGCTACTGGCGGCCGGACTCGAGCGAGATTGGTAGGTTTGGATCTTCCATGTGGCGATTAGCGATTCTTGTTCAGGTGCAGGCGTTAGTATCGTTCTGTGCTGGCATACTGGGAGGGATCGCCGGCCCTGGAGGAATGCTGGCGATCGTCCCTGCAACGTGGGTCTGCGTGCTTTGCGCTCAGCTCGTTCCAGAGTGTTTCTGTTTTAGGTATTATGACACTGCAGCTGAGGCTTTCGCATACATCGGTACGTTCTTCATAGCGTCAACGTTGATGATGGGGATTGTCGCGGCTATTTACGGTGAAGGTGAGATGCCCGATTGGCCTGTGGTAGAATTGATAGTCCTGTTCTCAGCAACTTATCGAGTTGCATCCCGAAGCATAGGAGGAAGAGGAAGTTTACGTGTCGTCAAGATTGTGTAAGTCTCCGTAGCGACTTGCTGTTCACTCTTATTCGGTAGTGGCGATTCAGTTACTACGCGAGTTGTGGTGCGAGCATAGCCGTTGGGATCATCTGGATAGTGCTGAACGCCACAGGAACCCTGCAAAAGTTGTTCGACTGAGGACCCTTTCCAGCGCGTCACTGACAACTAGAGCGAGTCATGGTTGAAGGAAACCAAGACGGGTCGGAGTTATACGAGGTGTAGCGAATCTCGGGCATTTTTACATTCATTTGTCAACTGTTAGTCTGCTGTTGGTGTATGGTGGGCATTGACGTTCTCGTACAGCTCTTAGGTTGTTAGTTTACCGAATGCCCATTGCTCAGCCCCACAAGTCAAGTCATGCTGTCAAGCAAGGCCTCGGGTATCGGCAATTCTGTCTAGGGTATGATGTCCTTCCTTCCTTCGCTGAGTGCGATGGCTATGACGTTGATGTTGACACCAGGCCGAAGAGGAATAGTTACAAGAAGGGTCGTGTGCCGATGCGAATGTTCGTGGCTGATGAACCCGGCTTGCGACTGAGTGCGACGAAGTTGGAAATGGTCGAGAAGGAAACTGATGCTAATTTGAAGTTACCGAGATTCGTGGCTGCTGAGGTTGTTGCAGAGAGACCCCTCCCAACGAGGCGCAAGAAGTGGGCTAAGTTACTTGATGGTTGGGAGGTTGTCCACGAGGATGATATGTGGTTTATCGTTGAGGAGAAGCAAGGGTGTTCATCTCGACGGTCGTACGCTGATGTGGCTGTGAATGAGATGGGAATCGATGCCTATGGTGAACCTCATTTGGTGCCGACTCTTTTGGGTGAGAACACCACTGAGATGAATGTGAAGCCGATGAGGAAGGATGTGGGAGGTGGTTGTGATGATGAGCAGCAGTGTGGTGATGTGAAAGGCAATTGGGAGATGAAGTTTAGTAGAAGTTTTAGAGGGAAAGTTGAAGAACGTCGGCGACACCATCTACGGGCCGAGCGTAAGAAAGAGAGGAAAATGAAGAGAAAGGCTGGTAAGGCCTAAGCTCGAAACTACGAGCGATTCTGATTATTACTATAATTGATGTCAACTGGTGTTTTCACTACGTGTGAAATCACCTTTATTGGTCGTGGTTACCATTATTTATCATCGACGAGTTGTTGATTTTCCTAATCCCCCTTTTTTCAAATACCACTATATCTGCATGTGATTGCATCGTCTACAAGGCGCTGCTGACAGGAAGTGTTGGACGGTAACGGGTTGAGTTTGTCTAGTCCTCTCTGGATGGTACTCTTGAGGGTTGTTTTAATGTGGGAAATGGAAATATTCTTTCCAAAGGGGTATGGTGAGTTCCTCTGAGAAAGAGAATGTACACAGCATACTCGAGTTGACACGAAGTAATATCATGGGGCTTTATGAGGAGGTCGAGCCACATGTTGTGCCCCGCTCGAGGGTGATAGCGCAAATGGATTTGTTAGATTCTGAAATACGTATAGAAATGGAATCATATTGGGCGCAAATCCGTCACATTTTGTACTCCAGAACTGTGGTGGAATTGCGGCTTATACGGTTCACCAGATACAAACCGTTTTATGGTGGTGTTATGGTTCGAGATGAGCTTGCGCTGATGGAAAATTAGACATTCGTTGGAAGCGTATTTTTATATGTTACTTTACAAATTGTTTCTAGTGGAATCGAGGTCTTTTCTCAGAATACCCCTTGGGGAGTTGGTAACTCCGCTGAGTTATTGATACACTGCATGAGGAAGAAGCATCCCTCTTATCACCAGGTCGTACCCGATGGAAAGGGGGGGGGGGCTCGAAATGAGCTCTCATGATGGGAATGCTAAGGACATATGATCTGGGAGTGGTGCGGTATAGATATGGAGTTGAAGGGCATTTCATTGTTATTCGTTGTTATATTGCAATACTTCAGGAGCCTCTGAATGTGATCGCAATGCATTGGGTTCATTTTGATGATATATCTAGTTTAGTTCTCTGTGATTACTCAGATTGAAACGGTCCTGAATTACGAGCAATACATGATACAACAATCACGTTCATCTGCTCTAAGGCTGCGGCCATCGACTTCGTCTCTTGATTCCTCCACTCCTCTTGGTCTTCATCCCTCAGCGAGTGTTTAGAACGGCTCGATTCTGCCCCAGCTGCTGTTGCTGCTTTTTCTTTTTTTTCTTTTATTCTCTGTAATTACTCAATGGAGTTATAGCGCGGAAAAATGTTCCAAATATCCAATTTTTGAAAAATTGGGATTTTGTAATATTGTGGATTGAAAAGATGACCGACTGACGGTCCTCCATATACTAGCATAGACTTTACACTTCGAATGTTGGTCTTAAATTGAGCCGCATAAGATCGCAGTACTTCACAGAATGCCTCGAAGGTCTCTGGGGCGGCTCCACGATGCTTTCATGGAGGGGACTATGCAGCGAACTTTAATTTTATTTAATTTCAGATAGGACGGTGAGAAAATTACTAGACTTGGTCGATCTCCATCTAATTGGTCTCTCGCTCACTGAGATGTCCTTCAGAGAAGTCCAGAGTGGCCTTACAGAGCCCACGACGAAATTCTTGGTACTACTTGCTGTAATAGCACCGGAATCATCAGAAGGAGCCAAATGTGTATCAGCGACGTTTACGCACGGGAAGTGTGTTAATGGAATCGAGAGGAGTTTTGGAGACGGAGAAATCACTGATCTTGAGAAAGTAGTCGATAAGCATTCGGAAAGGCTGCCCTGGGAGAAGTTTACTGCCGCTGAATAAATACACAAAACACGAGGATGTGAGAATTCTGGGACGAGGAGGCATGATAGTAATCGTCGGCCGTTAAAAGGCGACGTTTTGCATCCGAGTGGAATCGGAAAGGATTATGAATGCGGAAGATGATGTTGGCGAGGAGCGGTATGAAGCGTTAATAGTGAGATTATGGTCTGGGTGAAGGAACAGATGTATGATGCAGTACCGAGTTGGGGCTGTTACCATCTCTCGCTCTCCTCCACCCCATTACAGAACGCCAATTGACCCACTCGTAGTATATCGAGTTCTCTCTATCGCATAGGGAAGGTTTTTGGCGAGGCGAAACTCCAACGTTTCGCTGGTTAGCGCTCCGAACTAATCTAGAGCTATGAACGAATTGCGTATCTTACAAGCTGCTGATAAGACTCCAAGGAGGAGGTCGTCAGTGAGATCGTTGGTGACGGCTCCGTTGGGGTATTTATAATAATTACATTCCTCTCACTGGTAGAAGCCTCGACATGATAGTTATGTGAGTCATGATTTTTCCTCACCTGTCTACTACCAATTATTGAGTTGTTATTTTATGAACGAAATACACATCTGCAGACACTTATGGAGAGAAATGCAACTTTCTCATACATCAACTACAATTAATTGAAATGTGCTATCTTATGTCAATTACGGCTGCGGACTGTAAATCTCAAATATAAAAAACACAATCCACAAACAAAGAAGCCGCGGAAATGTTGGCGAAAACCTGTAGCAGATGCGGCTCAACTTGTACGTTATGTATTGCTCGTTTGACAAGTGAAGTTTCAATATGTGGAAAGAAGCAACTTCCGTATATTTCTCGACAATTTGTTCAACCATTCGATCATCTTAATTAACTACAGTGCAGCTTCCTGCACTTGGTGTGCTGCAAATATATTCAACTCTCCATCAATCACACTGTGAAAACAACAAGTCGGAAGTGGGCGAAACATTCACATTCCGCATATAATTAATAACATAATAATCATATGATCAAATCTTTCTCCCTCATTTCTGGACTTTCCTCTTGATTTCCTCAAAGAGCAAATCGCCTTCATCGTTGCATTGAATCTCTTGATAAACACCATCCAGTGGTTTACGAATTGCGTCTTTAGAAGAAGCGAACCTAAAAGGGAAAATCAGAGGCCTTTCGACGAAGTAATTGCATCCCACAGCATCTTCCTCTTGACAGGAGCAGTGTCAGGTGACCAGAAAATGAACAGAACCTTTTCTTGCTTCTGAGGGGAAGGAGAAATAAAGTGAAAACTGGCAGGAGGTTTCATACCGCTCCCGACTCATCATGATCGAATTCGAAGTCTACCACAGCGTAGCGCGGTTCATGACTGGCGAGGAGAGCCTGGTAGAGTTATGCAATGTGCATAATATAAGGGTATACTTGTTTGAAATCATCATAGGTCTTGTCTTTGGTGCCCTCGGATTCGATGACGATTCGCTTGTTGTCAGGAGTGAACGCATAGATGATATACCTAAGATGAGGGTGATTGACGACGCAGTGTTGGGTGTGGTTACCTCTTGTCATGCTTCAACTTGAGATTGTTGTAACTGACGATGCAGTCTCCATCAGCAACAACACCGGAACAAGCCATAGGAAGAGGGGGATCAGAATGAACTGTGTCGGCAACCGTTTCATGCTGGAACAATTCGGGAGAGATGAAATGATGAATAGAAATCATGAGAAACGC